AAATCATTGTAAGCCTGTTTATATAAAGCATACAAAGCATATACATCGACAAGGAACCGCAAAACTCAAAGTTTACTTCGTGACCGAATGACATAAAACTGACATGTCAACTCTAGCATGCATTTTCGTCCTTGATCACGTAATTTTGAAAACGGGTGAAAACGTTTGAAAACTCTTCGCCACGAACGCAAAATAAACAAATTAACTCTATTTTAAGTCTAATTATGAGTAACACTAAATGGTATCTGCTATAAGAGCTATATCCAAGGGCGAAACTAGCCCCTTTTAATTCGGGGGGTGTCTGCCAATTCCTGTTAAAATATTGCTTAACCCTTAATATTTTCGGACCAATATAAATTCTATAAATTCCCTCTGAAAGCCCTGTAAATTACTTAATTAACTCAACATTCTATCATTTAAAATCTTTGATTTATTCAAAACAATAAATAATAGTAATTTTTACCAACCTTAGCTCCAGGATATGATTATTCCTTGACCGACCTATTAATATCCGCAATTCCCGCCAAAAAACTCTCACGACTGAGTGCAATTCCCGCCAAAACTTTTACGACTGAGTCAGTACAGGATTGAGTCCATGTACCGTCGCTTGTTGGATGAACGGTCGTTGATAAAAACATTGCCTATTCGCGTGAGAATCTTCGATGTTTGTCAAGAGCACTTGACAGGTTCTGATCTGATGTTAATCTGTTGAACAACCAGATCCAAGCTTTGAAACCACCAAATAATCATAAATGATCATCAAAAACATTGAACTTTCTCGGTAAAAACATTGAACTTTGCCATGAGAATAGACAATACTTTAATGCGACCGTTCATCCTTAGTGCATTCAAGAAATGAGTCCGCCTTTTACAAATCGCAGCACGCGATTTGTAAAACACGGACTCAGTCCGCGTTTTACAAATCTTAGTTCGCGATTTGTAAAACACGGACTCAGTCCGTGTTTTCCCGGTCCAGTCCAGTCCAGTCCAGTCCGTGTTTTACAAATTCAGTCAGCGATTTGTAAAACACGGACTCAGTCCGCGTTTTCCCGGTCCAGTCCAGTCCGGTAGAGTCCAGTCCAGTCCAGTCCGTCTTTTACAACATGCCCAATAAAGCTTCCTTGCGAGGTGCGTGTCTAGAAAATAGAAATGGCTTTTATATTAAGGGCGAGGTTAAGGAATGCAGTAATACTAAAAAATGCATTAACATGTAAGTAAACACAGCAACGCTTGTCAATCAGTCGCAAGCAGGGTCGCAAGTTACATCGAATTTCAGTCCGAATTTTACTTGAGCGAATTTCGAAGTCAATTTCTGCAAATTATCCGACAAAACCTGCCACGTGTTTGTGTTCGCAAGTCACAAGAAGCCACCAAGTGTTCCGCCACGCCAGAGCTATTTGAAAACAGCGTAGAAAAGTCACAATAAGCCATCGCTAATTCACTCTACGCTGGAGCGAAATCGTTTGAAAACTTTCACGTCACTTTTGCCGTAACAATTTGAGCACGGTTTCTAAACGGAGCGAGGTGAAAACGGCGGAGCGCTTGATAGCTTCGTGTGAACACAAACGTGTAAACTCGAATGCTTTTCAGTTAAATTTCTTGGGTCTATTTGAAATATTTTGGGTTTACACGAGTGCTAATTCAATTTGTAAACAAACTGTAATGGCGGTAGTATGAACACACGTAAATTCTGCCCGCATTAGTTCGCTCGCGCGTAGTGTGAACGCAGTCTAATTTTCGGTGACGTTTTCAAACGGCGAGGTAGCCTTTAGAAAAATTTAGAAATAGTGGATGTCCGAAGGGGAGGGGGGTAATTTTGGGCTTGGATGTCCGGAGAGGGGGGGAGGATGAACCATTCAAGGATGTCCGAAGGGGGGAGGGGGTTATTTTCGATTTCCTCCGTAGGGGGGGGGGTATGGATCTTTTCTGGAATGACCCAATATGTAGTTCTAATAGCAATAGTCATCATTTTCCTAACGCAGTACATTTGGTGGTTTTTGTCAAGACCAATGCTTTCTAACATGTCTAAAAATGTATAACATTCTTCTGCAAAAATACCTAAAGAGCTGATGGAGAGATTTATAAATTTAACTTGGTTGAAATTTTTACCTAGCTGTCTCAATAATTCTCTATATTTATCCTTCTTCCGTTTTACGTTGTTTTTGAGGTTTGTCTCATAACCAGTGGTGAGTTCAACCACAATAATAATAATAATAATAATAATAATAATAATAATAATAATAATAATAATAATAATAATACTAATACAACTTTATTCATCATTTCATTATATACAATAATTCTTTTGTTATCAATGACTATATTAAATAATCTGTTCTTTGGGTTTAAAAAAGTGTCTAAATGTTTTTTGATATGTACAGTTAAATTTTAAAAACAAACTCTGGAACATATACCGCTACATAATTAAAATATTTACCGCTAAGTAGCTAAATAACTAAACTAAGATATTCCGCTGTACAATCTAAAATGTTTGAGAGATAGCACTCTCGGCGTTCTCAATGTTGAAATCAATGTTCTTAATATCATACATGATTTTCCTTGCCCTTGAACCCCTCAAGCAGGTAAGTGCCGATCTCAATAAAGCGAATGAGGTTCTGGCTCTTATCCAACTCATAGTTGTCGCATAATCTTCGCCTTTCTTCATGGCTACCAACTCTGCCAATCGACTATATGGTATCTCACACATTCTTTGCCCATACCGCCTGTGGTGGTGAATACGAGTGGCGTAAATGTTCCTTGCTCTATTTCGAGGACTCTCCTTGCATATAGGCGCTTCTTCTCGTTTTCGTGTATCTTGTAGACTTGGCGTAGCTCCAGGTCCTTGTACGAATCAGTACTGGGATGACAAGCCCTTACATCAAAAAAGGCTCATCGTTGACTTTCCCAGAACCCACGCGCACGAATGTCGAGTCTAGCATCAGGTGCTCTGTTGGAGCCTCCATTTAGTTGCTCTCCCGAGATGTCTTGTAGGACAGGCTCAACTTGGACGTCACTACATGCAGACAATGTTGAGGAGTTCCGCTTCCAGATCTCTTAACTCATTGTGGCGCATAATTACAAAGCCTCCACGTTTGCAGATCATGGCATGGTCAACCGTGAAGGTATCCCCACATATACATATGGAGGGGATGTTGTCGATTGGCCAATCATAGCGCAGCTTTACGGCGTCCCGAAATTCTCTCTTATTCAAGTTGAATCCCTGCTCTTTTAGGGGAAGTGCTGTGAGCCACACAGATGATCCTTTTTCCGAAGCCACATCTAATATACGCTGAATTCTTGGTGGTGCACTCTCTCTAATACGTTCTGCCCTCTCCTCCCACTCTTGCACTCTTTCTTTTCTAACGGCTTGTTGCGCTGATTTTATATGCGACTCGTCGGGTAGCTGATGGAACTGCGCTACAATCTGATCAACAAGGGGTGCTGTCACTCTTTTTGACGACACATACTGACGTTCTGCTTCATGACTTGGATTTTCCAAGCCCAGGCCACCCAGATGGGCTGGAAGTGCTAGAATGTCCCGATCGAGTGGTTTGCACTGGTGATCTGTGATAGCGGGGATGAGAATCTGCGATATTGCCTTTTCGAGTGGCTCTAGTAGGTCCTGGATGTCTGGCAGGGTTCTTAGGAAGTAGGTCCAAGGATGTTTCAAACCAAATGTGTATGCGGCATAGGACGCTTGTGGTTGGGACAGTGCAAATTCGGCTAATTCTGTCACTTCGTTGACCCAATTAGAGACCTTCTCATTAACATATTCCTCCAGATACTCTCGTGAACCTAGCGCTGCTCCCAGATGTTTCTGCCAATGCACTGTTACATTGATATCCGTTCCATGGAAGACTTCTCTCACACTTTCTTCCTTTTCGGGCTTAACAATAATCCAGCATTTCTCGTCTTTCGGAAAATATCCCAAGTTTGGACCAAGAGTATTCAATGCATCCCACCAATCTTTGATTTGTGTCACACGACCAGCTCCACTCGCATCGTCTGCGAACCAACACTGCTTCACGGTAGATGCGGCCTGTAGACTCGTGATCAAAGGCAGAGTACTTATCGCATAAAAGGCCATTGCCAAAGGATCTCAGTCCTTGTGTGGTTCCTTCTGCTGACGCAATCTCTTTGCCGCCAACAATCAACAGCCGAGCTGTCTGTCTGTAGGTGTTTATAGCGTAGGCAGCGATTATCGGACACAACACACGGCTGCAATGTAACTTGGAAAGCAAAAATACCAGCCAAGCTATATACTGGTCAAAGTTGTGTGTACTTATTTGTATTAATGTGTGTACTTATTTGACATTCGTAAATATAACACGTAAATATAACACAATACATATAACACATATAATATAACACGTAAATATAACACATATAACACAATAATAATAATATAACACAATAAATATAACACAACAAATAATATAACACATATAACACAATAAATATAACACAACAAATATAACACAATAAATATAACACGTAAATATAACACATATAACACAATAATAATAATAATAATAATAATGGAAACTTTATTGAAATTATATACGTATATATACAATTATAAATCTCACTAATTTAGGTAATTTATAATTGACTACTTGAACCCACTTAATATTTATATATTAATAATGAGTATCCTTAAATGTTCAGTAATTCCAGATTTAACCAATCTCTGCAACAAAATATATAATATGTTGTCCTAATCGCGATAGACATAATTTTTTAATAATAATAATAATAATAGTAATTACTGTTCCGATTGGAATTTCATATTGGATATCAGACCAAATTCCATATTGGATATCAGACCGGATTAATTTAATCACATATAGATCATTAATCGATTGTCCAAAGTTTTACTGTCCAGTCTGATACGAGGCTTACAGCTCGATTCAATGACTTCAAAAATTGTGTTCAATTTTGTAAGGTTATTTAATATCTCAACTAAAATTTACCAAAGCAAAATTTTTAAATTCTTTTAGACACGATAATAACTCGCCAAGAACATAAAGCGTGGAAAGAATGGCGAGCTTCAGAACTTGAACGTGATATTGAGTACTGTCATCCCAGGTGGCCACAAGAAACCAAGTATATCAACGCAGAGATAAAAGCTGTTAGAAATCTCTCCCTTATGTCGGGTTCTGATTACTGGATATATTTTGATTGGATCGCACTCGTGTTTATCCTGGCAACAATCGTATCTCACGTGGTTTTCTTCCACTACAGTACCGATTTATCCAAAGAAGCCCACCATTACATCATAATGCCGTTACTTCTGATACTCTGGTACAGAATGTTCAAATATGCAAGACCCTTTGAAGGTGCTGGTCCCTTTATTGTTATCTTTGGCAGTGTAATAGGTGACATTATAAAGTGGGGATTTTTCAACATCATCATTTTTATACCGTTTGCCTGTGCATTTTGGTTAACGTTTGGTTCTATTTCGTCCACTCCTGTCAATGGCTACAACGAAGTTGGTTCACTGTTGTACAACATCTTTTCCATGATGGTTGGTGGTGAACATCGCTTTAAAGATTTGCAGGAAAAGAAACCCTTCATGGCTAGATTATTGTGTGGAAGTTTTATCGCTGTAGCAGCAATCGTCTCTCTTAACTTGCTTATTGCTCTTCTTACGAACACGTTTGAAAGACTTTATGAAAATGCTATTGCCAACGCTGTTATGCAAAGAGCAAGGACCATTCTTCTACTCGAGAAGTCTTTATGGCGTAAACAAGAAGCGAAATACTACGACTTTATCAAGAAAAACGCAAGTCCAGAAATCATTTCCAAAAATATTGGTCGGTTAATGTCATTGGACAGATTAGGCCTTTCCCCTTATAGCACTAGGCGCGCTAAGCATGACGGTAGGAGTATGCAATTTGCTTTCGAACGAAATGGCTGCCGTATGAGCGATCGATTTCGTGCGAGAGAAGAATCGGCGGATTTTTAACAACATTAAGTGTCCATCAATGTCTGTTTTCTTTGCAAAATTACGAGGAGGTTTGTCACTACAAGTGGACGAAATTTCGTGGCGATCTGGGCGCTAATGGTGATAAAAATCCGTTGAGAAGACGACAAGTTGTGAACATGCTTCGCGTAAATTTGCTCGCCAAAAATTGACCACACGAACTAAAACAGGTGAGTTCGCTTTTCAACTTGCGATCGGCTAATTTTTTTTACAAAATAAGCTTAACTGATAGTGCGTCTTATTTGATCTCTGGGACATTTTACTACAGTACTTGTACCAACCTCGTTCCCAGGCTCTTTGCTCTTGGGAAGCAAAGACCCTGGTCGGGGCTTATGACGTCACACCCAGAATCTGGGAGTAAACGTATAATTTGACTATGGGTCGGGAGGTAGGGGAGCGTGTTTGTTGCGTTTGG